ATGAATTAGCTACCACCCAGCCCAATTCATCTTGCCTGACAAAGGTATTCCAGAGAGAAAATAGTAATATAGAACATAATACAGCCTGACCTACAACCATAACTGTGTACGAAGAATTGAGAAATTATCCAAGGACTGAAAAGAGTTTTTTATTCCTGGAATGTCTGATTTCCTCTTCTGTTCCTTTCTTTGGGTAAAGACGGTGAATTCTGGCACTATGTGAAAGTACAATGGGAGAAATGCTGAGGGTAGTGTTAAAGCCATTTGCACTGCAATGGGAGGAAATAGCCCTGCTTTTCACCCAGTGGTCATTTTGCTTCTAGATCTGGGCACAGACACAGCTGTGTGGGAAAGAGTCAGGAACAGATTACTGAAAAGTTTCTGGGTATATGGTTGCCACAGTTTCACAGCCTCTTTCAAACATCCAAATTGACTGTGTTCCTTCATCATGGCATAAAAAACGTCAACAGTCATTTGGACAGTGGCTGCTGAACACTCAGGGGAACAAATCATCCACACAGATGAGCTACGTGGAGTGAGCCCAAGTGAGATTCAGGATCATCAAAATGGCAGACCCCTCTACTTCCAGGGGCAGGAAGAGGAAGAAGACTGCTTATGGTGAGTGTCCCAAAACACTACTTGAATTGTCACATCCTACAACAACAATGAATTTAAAATGATATCTGACTGAACGGTTTTCCCAAAGTTTTGTTGGCAGTTTCCAGGCAGCATTTGGTTTGGATTCTCTCTCTCATAAACAGACTATTCACACTAAGGCTTGTCAGAACTCACCATTGAAATGTTTTTCCAGAGAATCCTGCAGACTGCTCTGTGTTTTGGAGCACAACTGGTTTACAGCTTCGTGTTTCTTCAACAGCCCCGTCATTGCACCACCCAAGCTCTCCAACTCCACCGAGTGGTACTTACGGCACAAGCTATTAAGATTTTCTTGGGTTGAGCTGATGTTGCTTTGCTGACTTTGAAGTTCTTTTTGTATATCCTGTGGAAGAAAAGGGCACCAGGAAGTACAGCCATCATATTCAAGGGAAATGGCCCATCCACTCCACTGCGGTTTATTTGTTTCAGTCTAAAACTGATGTTGTTGAATCCCACTCAGTAGTATATGAAATTTGGTGGTATTTTTTCAAGTATCTGTGATAGGTCTGTGTTGATTCTTTGAGAACTTTGCCTGGTTCTTTTTGGGAACAAGTACAAACAGCTATTGAGACATGGCTAGGATTTGGGTTGTGCTCCAGGACTTGGAAGAAACTGAATAGATCCTATGGACAACAGCCCTCAATCTTAGCTTTGATCAGTTGATTAGAAACAATGGAGTAACTCCCTCAGTTTGCAATCTTCAGTGGGCTTTATTTCAGGGTCACTAGCTGCACGCATAGGGTTAATAGTTAATTTAAAAATGTATATGTCTTTACTTTCAAGAACTGTAAGAAAATAGAGTCATAGTGGGCAGACTATGTATGTTGAAAAGTCCTTCAGAGGTAGTTTGCCAGAAACATCATCTATGACTATGGACAACTTAAAACTAAGCATTTCCTGAGCTGCTTCAGCTTAAATATAATCTTCTCTAGATGAACACAATCATACCAACCAACAAAAATAGTACAGGCATACCTCATTTTATGGCATTTCATTTTATTTTGCTTCAGAGATATTGTTTTTATAAATTGAAGGTCTGTGGTACCCCTGCATTGAACAAGTCTACTGGTGCCATTATTCCAACAGCATGTGCTCACTTCATGTCTCTGTATCATATTTTGATAATTCTCATAGTATTTCAAACTTTTCGTAATGCTATTGCACACTTAATAGATCATGTTGTTGTTGTTGTTACATGCCGTCGAGTCGGACCCGACTCATAGAGACCCTGCCTTGGGTTTCCGAGGCAGTATCACTATAGAAGTAGATTGCCCCATCTTCCTTCCGAGGAGTGGCTGGTGGGTTTGAACTGCCAGCCTTCTGGTTAGCAGTCAAGTGCCTTAGGCACTAAGCTACTGGAGCTCCTTAATAGACCATAGTAGAGTGTAAATATAACTTCTATATGCAGTAGGTAACAAAGAAATCCCTGTGACTAGCTTTATGGTGATATTCACCTTATTGCGGAGGTCTGGAACCGAACCTGCAATAATGGAAGTCTACTTGGAGTCCAAGCTTAAAACTTCATGGAAAGCCAAGCAGTCCTTCCACAGGCTCCACACTTTTACCAAAAGAATATGAACCAGTGTGACCCACGAGCAGGTTCCACAGGAACCCATGCTTTATGTTAGCACAGGATTCATCGTTGATTTCTGACAACCTGCATCGCACTCACCTATTTCTTAGTTGCTGTGTTCTATATGGTGAATTCTGTAGTGGTATTAATATGGGCAATTATGGTGATTATAATCACCAAAAAACAGGAGAACTAATAGCATGAGTTAAGTGGAAACATTCCATGAGAATTCACTGCCTACCTTTACTTTCTTTAACCCCTCACATGTCTCAGTCTGAGCACAGTTCAACAAGGATTCTTCTAGCTTCATCAGCCAGGTTGTCATGTCATTAACAAACCCCTCCACTTGTGCAGTCTGAGCTGTGAAATCTTTGAGGGTTCCTTTGGCTGCTTCAGTTATTTCTCTGGCGTGCTCCAGTTTCTGCCTTAAGTCTGCTTCTAGAAACTAAACATACAAGATTTCATTAAAGCGTGTGAAGACCAGGAAACGCTCATTCAGTAGAAAGTCTGCTTACAAGAAGTTGAATTGTCAAAAACACCTAAGACTGCCTGTGGAAGCCAGCTCCAATGGTTCATTTATGAGGAGTACTTTCCTAAACAAGAAAGTCAGTGGGGACAAGTTGCCGAACTTTCTAAGTGATGAGAAAATAGGAAGATTAAACATCATAATCAACACAAGAAGTTAGTTACAAGAGGGATTTCAATTGAGGGTCCAGAGAATCATCGAGGTCACATCCCAAAGAGGAGCTAGACCAGCTCAGAATTACCAAGGTGGCCAAAATCCTGCTCTCAATTCTCTCTGGGAAATGTTCACACAGATTTTGCCCTGATGCAACTGTTGCTTTGAATAACCACCACTATCAGATTTTATAGTGAAGCAATTTTATTTTTATTTTTGTCTCCCACTGTCCCTTTAAACTATCCTGTGGGTTAAGTTCTTTCCTTCCTGGAAGATATATTTAGAGCAGGGCCCTTGGCTTCTCTAGCCACTAAGATAATAAAAGATCTGAGTGTGTTACTATAAATTCCAACACAGTCTCAATTCCAGAATTAAGTTGTCCAGGCCCATTTAATAACCAAAGTGCAGTGCCTAAGGCATTTGCCTGCTAACCAGAAGGCTGGTGGTTCTAACCCACCAGCCACCCCTTGGAAGGAAAGTTGGACAATCTACTTCTGTAGTGATACCACCTCAGAAACCCAAGGAGGGGTCATTATGAGTTGGATCTGACTCGATGGCAGTGAGTTTGGTTCGGTTTTGGTGAATTCACTTTAATGTTAAGGCTTTTTTCTTAGCTCAGCTCTGCTGTGAGCGGGAAGCTGAAGTGGGGAGAGATATAGGTAGGACACCTCCTTTCCTTTTCTCACTTTGTTTCTCCTCTCCAACCTCAACTTGCTAACTCCAGCTCCTGACTTCGGAGCTTGCACTTGCAGGAAACAGGCCAGAGGGTTCCTCCTCATTTAATAACTGTCAGAAGCTGGTGTCTGTTCTCTCCACGTCAGGCTGACATTTAACATATTCTTCACCTCTCACTTCTGAGAATCTGCCTCATCGCAGGACCTCCCGTTGGAGTTCTCTGTTGTGGTTTCTGAGTGTCGTAGTCAAGTCAGACTTATAACTACCCTATAGGACAGAATAGAACTGCCCCATAGGATTCTCTAGGCTGTCATCTCTATGGGAGTAGACTGTCAGGTCTTCTTTCTTGTAGAGCGGCTGGATTTGAACGGCTGGCCTTTCAGTTGGCAGCTGAGTGCTAGGAGTTCTCGGAATACAGGTAACTCATGCTGCTCGGGCTCTTTGCTTTTGCCTTCCTCAGCCTCTAGGTGGCTCTTCAGCTCTTCCCGGTGAGGTCTGTTCATCCTCCAAGAGCTTTCTGAGCCAACCTGTGATCTCCCCAGACCAGTGCCCTCTTTCTGTCTTTTCTCTCATGACCTACATCTGGGCCACATTCTGTGGATCACACATCACCATCCAAAACAGTCATTTCTTTGCAGCAGCTCCATCAGCAGTTAGCCAATCTGTCACCCACCTTTTAGATCTGTCGAGGTGAGTTAGATAATATACACCCACTGGCAGGGAGCACACATCACAGTGAACCCTTCCCACTAGGCTGGAGGTAAAGCAAAGACAGCCATACCTCTTCCCTGAGTATGTAGGGGTGCGTGAGAGAGAGGGGGGGAAAATCAGCACACAGCAGTAGCTGTCTTCCTCTTCACTCTGAAAAGTCCAACTCTTGCCCATTTATATCTTCGACACAGGTGACACTCACAAGGACTCCTTTTTAATTCAGTATATGATTATCATCCCCTTTGCCTCTTACAACCTCACATAACACTTCCTCTAACGTTTCAGTACTTGTGTATCATTCTCTAAAGATGGCAACTGAGGGACACACAGTCTTGGGTCAGAGAAAAAGTGCAGTTAATCAAACTCAACTGACGGGTTAGTGAGAAGCAGCAAGACAAAGACAAAGGCACAAGAGGATGAGAGAAAAAGTGAAGAAAATCCATTGGGGAAGCAACAAAACCAAACCAAAATTCATTGCTGGCTGGGGGGTTTGAACCACTGACCTTTCAGTCAGCAGCCAAACACTTAATCA